ACAACTTGCCTACGATTAAGGTTACGTAAGAAAATCTTGAAACCCAAGTTACGATCGGTTGACCTTCTACTACCACTCGTATTTGACTAAGCAATGTAGATTGTACCTTTTCTATTTGTAATTCCTGATAAAAAAATCCTGATTTTATTGTACACGATTATCAATATAGAAAAGTAAAATTTTGTTACAACATTTTCTGAAACCTACCAAAATTTCTCTATCATTCGCGGTGAGAGGTGCGACGTTTATTTTTATTAAAATTGGAACATTCTTTACGAACGATACAATTACTTCGTCACCTTCTTCGATGTTCAAACTTCTTGCAAAAGTTGTACCAATGCACAAACTTTCATTAAGATTTGGCCTTACGTTACATGACATGTAATGCGTTTTATCTTTATGAATTACTTTGATTACATTTTCCTGTAAAAAAAAATTTATTAGATTTTTCAATAAGCGAATAAAGCATTTTTGTTACAATGTCAAATTTTTTTTTATATTTTCCAATTTCTCTCTCTTCTTTTAATGTAAATTGTTTATAATTTAATAAAACTTTTATTTTAATTTTTTGTTCTAGCTTTTCGAAAAAAATCAACCCTCCAAAAATATCTCAATAAATTAATTCTATATATACATACATACCTTATATTATGTATAAGATATACATATACATATATTTATGACATATAAAAATGGATACATATATTTATGACATATAAATTCACATAAGATTTGAAAAAACAATAAAATTAATAAGAAAGAAAGGAAATAGTGAGAGAAGGATAAAGATATGATAAAAATAATAAAATCAGTACCATCTTCAGAGTGCCGCAAAAGAAATACTTAAAGAAAGAATAAAAAATATTAGAAAAAAAATAGAAAAAGAATAAGAACGGACTATTAGCGCTATCTTTTAAATGCTAAAGATAACTCTTCAAGTAAGAAAAATACAATAGAAGAATTAAAAATTATCGCCATCTTTTGAATATCTTTAAAAAAAAATATCTATGGTTCTCAAAAGATGGTGCTGACGGTTTATTCTTATTCTATTCGGTTTATTTTATCTTCTTCCTATTTTTTTTCTATTCTTTTTTATATATTTCATTTGCAGCACTCTAAAGATGACGTTAATTTTAATACTTTTGCCATATTTCTGTTTTTTTCTCACTATTTCCTTTTCTTACCTAACTATTCTGAAAAATTTATGTGTTCAAGAAAGTAGCAATATATGATTAACTTTTTATTATCTTTTCTCTAATCTATTAATTAAAAATGTTGAAAATGACTTTAAAATAATAAAATTTGTATTTTAATGCAAAAAAAAATGCATTGACTATTAAATTTATTTTGTCCATAATACACACAATCAATCCTCTTTTTTATCATAAAATGATAATAGAAATAATAGATAAAATTATCTTAATCAACAATATACTTTTTAATTATAATTTATAATAAAGCAATATTATTATATAAATATAAATATACAATTATTGAAATATATGAGATCTTCTTTATCAACTTAGCTGAAGAAAAAATTAATCTCGACATCTAGTGACGTAATAAGATATCTAAAATCCAACGAGTTCCAAGTTCCAATTAACGTATTAAATTTTCTATCATTACATGTATAATCAGTGTAATATATGTTTTACGATGGACAATTTTTGATTGATTATAAGAACAAAGCACCAACCTTAATTTCCAATTTACGTAGCCAAGTATCCGGTAAATAGGCAAAACAATTATTCACTGTTATAAACTTAACAATAAAACGTTCACTTTGCATTCTCGTTCATAAAATTACAGACCAATGAGACTAAAATCCAGAATATACAAGAAGATATACACGTATAAAGAAAATATATGATAAATATTCGGTATGTAACAAAATTTCACAATATCAAAACAAAAATCATATTCAGTTAGGTTATTGAACACTGAAAGTATGAAATACTTTTTGCGATACTTTTATGATTACACGATTAATTTAGATTTCTAACTGAAGTTTTAAGCATGCTAATGTTTGGTTTAAAGTAAACGACTTAATACAGGTCAAAGGTTAATTTTAATTCTTTATTAAAAATATTAAATTCGATATATTTACCGATTCTTCATACTAAAAATATATCATTTAACATTGTAAATAATAAAAATTATTTATATGTATGCTATATATGTTTATTTATTAACAAATTGATATACGTATTGTATAATCTTATTGCAAACCAAGAACGTAAATAATTAATAAAATAATACTATTTTTTATTTAAAGTTATGTAAAATGTAATTTGTAATTAAGCATGCTCCATAATAAAGATTTGTTAAAATTCTTATAAGTCATTAATTGCACAAAATATAAAAAACTTATATGGTTTAAACAATCGAAACTGTATTCAATGATATAAGTATATATTATTTTGCCGATAGGTGGTGTTCATTATTTCTACATTCCTGATTGGTTGTCATGAATCAGAGCACAACCAATCAGAGAAAGTACTAACAATAACTGTGATATTTTGAACGGCGTCAACTTCAGTTGCTCTGACGACATACAAATGAGCTGTACAGTAACGTATCGGTGGCAAAAGAATTTTATAAATGAGAAACATCCTTGAACCAGAGCACATCAAATTATAATTCTTCCAGTAGCTTCCAAGTAAATCAGAATATCTCATTTACTATCTGGAAATAATTTTCTATATAAAAACTTTAAACTTTCGTTTCGTATAAATTAGTGAAATTTTGGACCACTTTCTTCGTGATCGCGTGTGTTTATGGCAGTTGCAACGAATCAATCACTTCTATGTATTTTGTTATTTTCTCTTGTGCTATTATTTTCAAAGTCTGTGTTAATGATTTTGAACAACAGTGAAATCATGTCCTCGAATTTAGTTTAACGGTATATTCTTGCTGTATATTCCCGCCTTTTTTAACCACAAACACATTTCTTGAATTTGAGAATCAAAATTTGTGCAGAAAGAATGTAGATAAATTTCTTTTAATTTGTCACAGAAAATGTCTTTAATTTTTAAGAAAATTAATAAAACATTTTCTAAAATATTATAAAATTATATCAATTAGCAAATCAAGTAATTTATTAAATTATTAAATTTAAAATATAATTTTCTTTATAATTCTATAAAGAATATGTAATATTCGATATATTACTAATAAAATTATATGTTTTATTGTTAGATTTTTTTTAAAAAGATTAAGATTGAAATATTGTTCTAATAAATACATAGTGAAATATGATAATTTCAGAATAATTTTACACATTTTTCCGTCTTTTAATAAAAATAATAAAAACTAATTTTTTAATTAAAATTATTTTTTATATTTATTATTTTAAGCACAATATCATTAATTTTTAATAAGAAATGGTCAAACATTTTCACTAATATTTAATAAAATTTTTTTCTTGATAATGAAACAGTTGTTGATTGTGAAATAAATCTAATTAAATCTAATTTATTAAATTTTTTCTTTTTTAGAAGAAAAAAAAAATTTTTTAATTTCAAGAATTTATGAGAATGGCACCATCAAAAATTTTAAATGTGCAAAATAAACAAAGTAGTACTAATGTAATAAGAAAAGGAATAACTACAAGAAGTCAAAATTCTGCATTAAATAATGTTTTACTTAAAGCACCTGCAAATGGTAAAGAATCTCGTGTGAAAAGGAAAGCAGAAGCATCACCACCAAAGGAAAAAACAACAAAAAGATCTGCATTAGGAAATATTACCAATGTTTGTCATTTTTTTATTTTTTATTTTAATTTTTTCATTTTTTATGATATTAAATAATAATGCACATAAAATAATAGGCAATTGGAAAAACATTGGGTACACATCAAACACAAGAACCAAAGAAAGCAGTAAAAAAAACAACAGTTACTCAAATAAAATCTTTCACTCAGACAAGTTCTATTAGAACGCTTGAAAAAGGTGTAATTAAACCAGAGGTAATACCTCAGAAACCAAAGCCAGTGCCTCGTGTAAAACCAATAAAAAAGGACGAAGAAAAAACTGAAATACCTAGTAAAATTTTAAATGTTAGACGTAGTTTAGATTTAGAAAAGTCAGAGGACAGTTCTTTGTATGTAAGTGCATTAGAAGAAATAACAGATGATAGTACAAAGAAGTCCAGAAGAAGTAATATTCAGGTAAATAGTTTTAAATATTATAATATTTTTTTAAATTATATAATTTTTTTCACTTTTTAATTTTTAAATATTTAAATAGCCTGAGGAACCTGAAAAAACAGAAGTAGGAAATGAATCAAATGAGCCTCAAGTACCTGCAAAAACTCAAGAAAGGTCAGCAGCTCAATTAGATGCTGCTCCTGAGCAAATATTGCCAGAAGGAGTTCAGTGGGATTTTGATGCAGAAAATTGGTTAGATCCATTTCAAGTCTCTCATTATGCCATGGACATTTTCAATTACTTAAAAAGTAGAGAACATTTATTTCCTATTGGAGATTATATGGAAAGACAAGTATGTCTTTCGCCATGGATGAGAGCCTTACTAGTTGATTGGATGGTAGAAGTTCAAGAATCTTTTGAACTTAATCATGAAACTTTATATTTGGCTGTGAAATTAGTTGATCTATATTTGACAAAAGTAACTGTTGTAAAAGAAACATTACAATTATTAGGTGCTGCAAGTCTTTTCATAGCAAGTAAATATGATGTTAGTATTCAAAATTAAATGTATAATTTTTATTCTAAAAAAGATTAAATTTTTCCGAGTTTATTTATGTGGTGATTTTTATAGGAAAGAATTCCTCCAATGGTGGAAGATTTTTTGTATATATGTGATGGTGCTTATAAGCAAAGAGCATTAATTAGAATGGAAATGAGTATATTAAAAGTAGTTGATTTTGATCTTGGCATACCTCTCTCTTATCGATTTCTTAGACGATATGCTAGGGTGAGTTATGTAAATAATACATTTTTTTAAATATTACAGTATAATTTCATATTACAATATAAAAAAAAATTAATATTCAAATTATTTTTAAACAGTGTGCAAAAGTTTCAATGCCAACATTAACTTTAGCTCGATATATTTTGGAGTATTCATTAATGGATTACTCGACGATAAGGATTAGTGATAGTAAAATAGCTGCAGCTGCACTTTTACTTGCATTACGAATGAAAGATTTAGGAGGGTGGACTTCAACTCTAGAGTATTATAGTGGATATAAAGTTGATGACATACGAGATATCGTACATCTTTTAAACCAAGGATTACATCGAAAAGAAACTCTTACTACTGTACGTAATAAGTACAGTCATAAGTAAGTATATAAATACTTCATTTAACATTTACATAATTATATACAATAAAATAGTATTTCAAATAATATTGAAACTTACAAATAATTTTCATTTTAGGATATTTTTTGAAGTAGCAAAGCTGCCATTAAAAGATACTTTAGATATATAAATAATTTAAATAAGGAAATATAGTTGACAGTATGCAAGATTGCCTAATCATTGATAGGTAATCTGTAATAAAATTTGTGAAGAATTAAAATGATCACTGAGCGTTAATTTATAAATCAAGATAACTGTTAATTTATGTCATAATGAAATCATAATAAGTAAATCTTTAAATTATCTATTATCTATGCACCACAAAAAATCAAACGACTGTGAAGCTCAGTTTGAATTTAATATATCCAAAAGAACCGAAAAATATTATAATTTTTTTTCTCTTTTTCTTTTTTCTTTTTTTTTCTTTTTTTAATTATTTATACAACATTAGTAATCTCTATCTACAACAGTATTTGTAAGTTAATTTTTTTTTTTTTTTTTTTTTTTTTTTTTAATTTTTTTTACAAAATTATTAATCTCTTTTTACAACAGGATTTTTAAGTTAATTTTTTTTTTTTTTTTTTTTTTTTGTTGAAAAATTTATTTTAGCGTCTCATTTTTATATTCTATAAAAATTCTCATAAAAAAAATTAATATCGTCAAAATAGTTTTATGCATGTAAAGATTAAAAATGAATCTTTTACTCATAATTTTTTACTTATATATAATGCTATTATATGATGCCTTTGATTCAATGAATACGTACATACAAATATCAATAAATGAAATTAATGAATTATGCGGCGCTCATATTTTAATGAGTCGTATAGGTTGTGGCGTATTGTTATGCATTGTTATTGCATTTTATAGACTGATAAATTGTATGCTCCTAAGAATAGTTACATACCGATGAATATAATACGTTTTTGCTCATTACACAGTATAAAATTAATAATAAAAAAAGATTATTTCTTTCTTATAAAAATTAAACAAATTTAAATATTTTGTATCAACAAATTGCATGAAATTAATAAGTTTAAATATATAAATATATATATGTAATTTATAGAAGAATTAATTTTTCATTACATGTCATTATATATGACATCATATTTATTCATTATCTTAATTAGTTGCATACAATACAAATATAATGAAGTGATCTATTTTTTTGAACTTTACTCGTGTCATAGTAACTACTTGTGCCTATTAATAAATATGGCATTTTTTTTTTATATATATATATATACATAAATATACATATATATATATATATATACAAAATACCACCTGTGATATAAATATATTCAAATATTTGGTATAATCAAACTCGTCAAAATTTTCTCATAAACAATATTTATACAAGTTACATTACCTAGCAATTAGAAAAGGATTATTATCTAGAACTTTTCTTAGAAAAATATGTTATATCAAGAGAGTAATTGTACATATAGATCACAATTATCGATGTGTACATATTTTTAACAATTATTAGGTCAAATTTAAAGTGATTCCTTTACAATAAAAATTTATCATATAGAAATATTGTACGGTTCTAGGACTTATTGAAATTAGGTGGTGTACATAATATCATTATATTTTTGTACCAGCAATAAATGTATTATTATCTATTATTTTGTAAGATGTGTGTATGTGAACCATTGTAAACAAAATGTATGTAATTTAATAAAATCAAAAAAGATTTTTAATTTTTGTCTATTCTTTTTTATTATATTGCTGTAGTACCTAATATAAAATATAATATCCGAAAAACATATTAAAAATATTTTTAAAAAATAAAACAATATTAAATTTTGATATTTTATTATAAACTTCGATTGTATTAACATTTATAAATAAACAATGCATACTTTCAATCATGACGGGAACCAGGTACAGCATTTATGACTATTATATTTTTTCCAGTACAAAGGTAACATTTTTATAAATCATTATACTTAAAATATTATTGCCATTTTACAATTATTATTTGTAACATGCAATAAATTATTTTTAATTTTATTAAATTATCTTAAAAGTCTAAATAATTAAGATTCACAGTTAAAAAATAAAAGCAAAATATAAATACTTCAAATAACATGATACATATTTACATTATTTTTTAACAATGAAATAATTTATGTTATTTAAATTAAAAATTTTATAAATAAGTCATAAATTATCTCTATTTTTCTGATAACAAAATACGTAATAATTGATGGATAAATAATATATGAAATACGTAAAATAATAGATAAATTTAAAAATAAAGTTACAATTATTTTAAATATCACATTTTTTTCTCAGTCTTTACTATATTTCCCGTATATTAAATAAATTTTTGTATAAAATACTATACTTCCAAATTTCAAGCAATATTTTTTCTATATTTTATATATAATTAACAACATATGCTTGATAAATGATTTGATAATTTTGTAATTCAAATTTACTTATTATTTAACAATTTAATTATATATTAAATATGATAAATAAAAACCAAATTTGGGAATATCTGATTTTTTTATAAACTTTTTATATCTGATTTAAATAAATTTTAAATTATACATTCGATACTCATAGGTAAAGATATGACGCAAAACAATTTTGCTATATGTCAAAATTGTTCTCTAGATATTCGTCTAGCACGTAAACGAATGCAGCGCGGACAATCTATCTTATTAAAATTTTGCTTACATTCGTTATGAAAACATGCACCGCACATTTCACATCTATTAACTTTTGAGAATTCCCATGGAAATATGACATCTTTGGAATAACATAATTCACATACAAATCCCCTAGCTTGGCATAACTAAAAGTAAGATCAATTCTTATTAAAGATATGCATATCTAATCTAAATCAATTTTAACATTACCTCACAGCCCATAATATGCATATTACACATTTGAACTAATTCTTGTAGTCTCATTGGTAAAATACCATACTTAACATGCATCAAATCTTGAATAGAATATATATGAGGTTCGCTTATTATATAATTTGGTTCTTTTTTTAAGATATCTTGAACACTAAAAAAAAAATAATAAATTTTAAAATATTATTTTATAAAATAATTAAAAAAGACAAATACAAATATGCAACAAATAAAAAAATAACAAATACCTTGTTGCGAATCGACAGGTAAATAGAAAATCTTTAAAGAAAAATAATTGTGAACGTAATAATCTTGTCTTAGCTAATTGTTTTATGCGTCTATATAACAATGGATTCAAGTCATTTATTTGAAATAATGGATCTGATGTCATTTGATCCAATAATCTATATGAAAAGTTTGATACAGGATATCTAAATGAAAAAACAATTAATATTGTAATATATAATATATAATATAATTTTATATAAATATATAAATAACATTAGTTTCTTACCTATTAAAATCCCATTTAGATAAAATCTTTCCTGGTATTAATGCTACTTGATTGGTATGGCATCCAGTACAGAAATATCTACCTAAATACTCACAATAACGAAATTTATTTGCATATTTTATTGCAACTTTCATTCCACATCCTGCACATTTATAATTCTGTTTAGCTATAAGAGTGCGTCGTCTATAAGAAATATCAAATTTAATTAAAAAATTATACAATATATTTTAATTTTATATATATATATATATTTTTTAAAGTCATAAACTTACACTGGTGGAGGATGTGATGTAAAAATAATTTGAGGCCTTGGTGGAGCCCAATCTGTAGTTCCACGTAAAGGAATTGATTGTGAATTTTCTGCATCATCTGGATTAATTGGCCAACTTTTTGGTAATGGTAATAATCTTTGTGGTACATCTATTTCAGAAACCAGCCATTGTAATTCGCTTGCTCTCGGTAATTGTTTTTCACTAAATTTGCTAAGAAGTGATAAAGCTACCCCTTCTGCAGACATGCTACTTTCTGTTAATGTTGATTCTGTTTCATGAGCAGGGGATGATTGATATAAATCTGCATCAGAATATAAGGATGCCATAGATATAGAAATCCCAGCATTCTTAAGTTTTATTGCATTTCGCTCGTCATCTACTTCTAAATCCTCTATATCATCAGTGGATATATTTTCTGATGGAGTATCAGATGAGGTTGATAATGGACTAACACTTTGATCAGTAGTAGTCGTATCCGTTTTGCCATCGCTTAATAACTCGCGGTTCCACGTTCTTCTTTTACATCGCTCTTCTTGTCGCTGACGGCGTCTTAATCGTATTCTTTGTTTTAAGCTATTTATTTCTTCATCGCTTTCTTCAATTGCTTCTTCCATAAGACGCCATTGTCTATTACATTTTACTTGTTCAATGGCAGCTATCATGGCTTCAGAAATACTGAAATGTGCGTTTTCTCTATCCAATTCAGCATTTGCTCTGGAAAATTGTGCAGATGCTAAGAAATTTGTTAAACTTTGACCTTCTATTGGACATGGAAAATATCCTATTGCCATAGGTTGAACACTGCTTCCACCATCTTCCATAAAAGTTTTCTTTGGTGTTCTTATATCTTTTTGTCCTTCAATTTCTAAATTCCATGGATTAATGAATTCAGGTGCTGATCCTGGTAAAAAAGAAGTTTTTCTTCTTGGTTTTTGTGATATTTCTATTTCAGTAGAATTTGTATTATATATATTTGAACTCGTTTCATTTGGTATAAGAGATGGAATTCGATATTCCTTTACTGTATTTATTGATATATCTTCATTATTTAATGCATCAGAATCTTCATTAGATTTCTTTATATATTGAGTTTCTTTCATTTTAGTTTTATTTTTTATTTTCCTTATGGGAGTTCTTGGTTTTATAAGTAATTTATTATCTATAACTGTTGATGTTGAATGTTTTAACTCAGCATAATTTACATTAATTATTTTTGATAATTCAACAGAAGATGTTTGAGAATCATGATTTTTATGTGAACTATTATTTGCCATATATGATGAAGATATAGAAACATTTTTTTCTAGAGTTATACAATTTTTAGTTAATGCTGAGAGACTACTCCAACTTTTTAAAGGTATATCATTAATTTCTTTAGGATCTGATATTTTATCTTGAATTTTTTCATCAGATCTAACATCATGTTGCATATTATTATCTGAAGCTATTTTTAATGATTCTAATTGACATTTTTCAACATGTACAATTTTATCTCTTACATTAAAATTTATAGTTGAAAAATTTATTGGATATGAAGAAGATCTACGATGTTTTTTTTGATTTATTTTAGGAGCAATCCAAAAAGGTAAAAACTAAAAAAAATATATTAAATAAAAAAAAATCAAAATATAGAAATCATATACAGACAA